TCAAAGTCGACCCAGCCTCCTCCTCCTGCTGCTCCTCCTCCTTCCTCCTCCTCCCTCCTCCTCCTCCTCCTACTCCTCCTCCTCCTCCTCCCTTCTCCTCCTCCCCCTCCTCCTTCCTCCTCCCTCCTTCGTCTTATCATCCTCCCCCTCCTCTTTCTGCTCCCCCTCCTCCTCCTTTTCCTGCCCCTCCCCTCCTGCTCCTGCTCCTCCTCCTACTCGTCGTCCTCCTCCCCCTCCTCCTCCTCCTCCTCCTGCTCCTGCTCCTGCTCCTCCAGGGGTGCGTTTCGACCAGAACTTCGGGGCGGATCCAGCCACGGCGCCGAAGGCGCCCCAGGCCTGTGCGCCAGGCGCGCCACGTGCGCCAGGCACACCAAGTGTGCCAAGTGCGCCAGGTGCGCCGTCTGCAGGGGCCTGTGCCTGGAGACCTGTTGGAGCCGCCAGGGCGACCCACCCCGGGAGGACCCCCCCCTGCTCGGGCCCCCTGGCCCCCACAAGCCCGGCACAGCTGCCTGTGCGAGGGCCACCTGTGGGCCAGGGCCCTCCGCGACACTGTTGTTGACAGATTCGGGCATTTTGTTTCTCATGGTGGCGCCCAGAACGGCCTTCCATATACAGATTGCCAATTAATCTGTATACAGGGGGACCCACTCATATACAGATCGCCAATCAATCTGTAGATAGGGGGGACCAGGGTCATATACAGATTGCCAACCAATCTGTAGATGGGGGGGGCCAGGGTCATATATACAGTTTCCTTAATTTTGTGGATGGGGACCACCGTTGCCAACGAGTGCCCTTCATCTGTAGATGGAGCCTTTGGCCGCCAAGGGGGTAATGGAGGTGCGAGGGGCGGGGGGGGGGGCGGGGGAGAAGGATAACGGAGGAGGGGGGAGGCGACCGGAGGGAAGGTGGAGGAGGGGGGAAACACAGAAACTGAAGAGGCATATAAAAAGCGCACAGGTGAATGAGAATAACGAGCGGGGCGGGGAAGAGGTCGGGGAGGGGAGGGGAGGAAGGGATGAGGGGAGGATTGAGAGGAGGGATGGGAGGTAGAGGCGGGAGGGGGAGGGTATGGGGATGATGGAGGGGACGTAGGGATGAGGGGGGAGGAGGGGAGGGATGAGGGGAGGAGGGAAGGATGGGGGAAGGAGGGATGGGAGGGGAGGGGTGAAGGAAGGAGGGATGAGGGGAGGTTAGGAGGGATGGGGGGATGTAGGATTGAGGGCTGAACACGGGACGAGAGGAGGAGGAGGGGGGGGAGGGAGGAGGGGGGGGAGGTAGGGGCGGCGAGGTACGAGAGACCAGGGGGGAGGGGAATGCGCACACCATATTATTTATCAGGTTTCGTGCCCCTCCACCCCTCCAGGGAGGCCCCACCAGAGCGGGCAGGGTATCCGCACACCATATTATTTATCAGGTTTCGCGCCCTTCCCAACATTCCAGGGAGGCCCCGCCAGAGCGGGCAGGGTATTCGCACACCATATGATTTATCAGGTTTCATGCCCCTCCCACCCCTCCAGGGAGGCCCCACCAGAGCGGGCAGGGCATTCGCACACCATGTTATTTATCAGGTTTCGTGCCCCTCCCGCCACTCCAGGGAGGCCCCAGAGCGGGCAGGGTATTCGCACGCCATGTTTTATTACTAGGTTTCGTGCCTTTCCCGCCCCTCCAGGGAGGCCCCACCAGAGCGGGCAGGGTATTCGCACACCATGTTATTTATCAGGTGTCGTGCCCCTCCCACCCCTCCAGGGAGGCCCCACCAGAGCGGGCAGGGTATCCGTACACCCTATTATTTATCAGGTTTCGTGCCCCTCCCACCCCTCCAGGGAGGCCCCACCAGAGCGGGCAGGGTATTCGCACACCATATTATTCATCAGGTGTCGTGCCCCTCCCACCCCTCCAGGGAGGCCCCACCAGAGCGCAGACAAGAAGCAATGGAACCCCGTAACATCCTTATGTGGGGAACTCCGTTAGCATAATGTTTTTGGCGGTGGGGGTTTGTGGAAACTGTTGGAAGCAGTTCCTGCCAATCTGCTTTTCGTGTCGCCCCTTTCGGGGCACTCTGCGGCTACAGCCCCCGTGGGGCGCCCAAGGCAGCCGCCGACGTTTGGTGAGCCGCCTTTGCCCGCCCCGACGACGACGACCTGCGACCCGCCGCCCGCTGGCCGCCGAGGTGCGGCAGCAGCTGGCCTCGCCCAGGCGGGGATAGCTACGGCGGTTGTCGCCGCCGCGGCCCTTGTGGGGGCGCCCCGCCAGCTCATCGGCAGCCACGTCCTGCAAAAAGGCGACTTCTTCTTGGTTCTCAACAACGTGGGCGGATGTCGCATCTGGCATGCGGGTGTGGCCGTCTATCTTCCGCCGGGCGGCGTATCAGTTGTCACGACGCTGTCGTCGGACGAGGACTCGTACTCGTACGAGGAGGACTTGGCCCCTTGGGCGGATGTGCTGCGCTGGGGCCGCTTGCCCACCGGCGTCATCGGCGGCTTGGCGGGTTTCGTGGCTGGCGATCGCGTGTGCTGCTTTTGGCCCCCTCCCTGCTGGCGGCTGCACGGGCGCTCCGCGACGCTGCAGCCCTGCGGCTGGGCTTCCCCGCGCCTGGCAGTCCGCTGGCGGCCAGACTCGGAGGCGGCGCCGCGGTTGCCGCCCCCCATGGTGCGTGGCGGCGCTGGATGGCCTTGGCGTGGGCCCCTCGCCCGCGGCAGGTGCGGCGGCGGCGCGCTCGGTAGCTCGCTCGGGCGCCTCCGCGTTTGGCGTCGCGGTCTGCGCTCGCAAGTTGGAGCCTTAGGTGGTTGGGAACATCGGCAGGCATAACCAGCGGTGGATGTGCAAGGTTTGGGAGGGTGCTCATGCTCGAGACCGAGCGCTGGGGGCAGATCTGACTGGTGCACCGTTGCCCTCGCCTACCTTGTCGTCGTCGTCGCGTTTATCAGCCGGTCTTGGGGATCCACTGGCAGGCCTCCAGGGCCCCGACAGTGGGCCCGCAGTCACGGGTACCGCTGTCGACGAAGTCCCGAGAATTATCCTGAATAATGAGGCCTGGAAGGTCGTGCTAGCGTCGAAGGTCAAAATGGGGCGGCGTTAGGAGGGAGGAGGAGGAGGAGGAGGAGGATGATGACGATGCTGATGATGATGCTGATGATGATGCTGCTGCTGATGATGATGACAATGATGATGACGATGATGATGATGATTATGATGATGATGATGATGATGATGATGATGATGAAAATGATGGTGAAAGTGATGATGATGATGATGATGATGATGATGATGATGATGATGATGATGATGATGATGATGATGATGATGCTGATGATGATGATGATGATGATGATGATGGTGGTGGTGGTGGTGATGATGATGATGATGATGATGATGATGATGATGAGGATGATGAGGAGGAGGAAAGAGGAGGAGGAAAGAGGAGTAGGAAAGAGGAAGGAAGGAGGAAAACACGGGGCACCGTCTCTTCAAAACGAGGACCCAACACCACAGGATGGTTGGGACAAATAACCAAAACCCAGACCGAGAGGGTTTAGCACGCCGGGCACCCCTGTGACAAGCACAGGGGGCGGCGGATCGAAGACGCCTACGGCGAATCACCGCCGCCCCCTGCCTTTTTGGAAACGCCTATGTGGCCGAACGGTGTGGCCAGAGGCCTGTCAAGCTATCGGACCATGTGTTCCCCGAATCGGTTTGGGAAGCGTTCGGGGAACACGATGGGGGAGGAGGAAGGAGAGGAGAGGGAGGAAGAAGGAGAAGGGAGGAGGAGGCCTCTTGGGAGCCTCTTGGGCTGCTCTAGGGTTTTGTTGGGCCATCTGTGCGGTCTTGGAGGCATCTTGGGACTGTCTTGGAAGCCATTTTGGGGCTGTATTGGGGCTGCTTGGGGCCATCTTGATCATCTTGGACGCATCTTGGAGGCCATCTTCGGCCACGTTGGCCGTCTTGGAGGCGTCTTGGGACCAGTTGTTCCCCGAGTCGGTTCGGAAAGACTTGAGGGAACGCGTGGGGAGGCAAGAAGTGGAGGAGGTGGAGGATCAGGAAAAAGGAGGAGGAGGAGGCCTCTTGGGCTCCTCTTGGGGCCCTCTTGGGGCCTCCTGGGAGCTTGCTGGGGGCCTCTTGGAGGCCTCTTTGGGGCCTCCTTGGGCCTGCTGAGGGCCTTTGGGGGCTTCTCGGGGGCCTCTTTGGCCGTCTTAGGGCGTTCCTGGCTTGTCTGACGCCGTCGGAAGCCGTCATGGGGGCCTGTCTGGGTCGTCTTGGGGCCCTCTTGGGGCATTTCAGGGCCTTCTCCGAGGCCATCTTGGGCGTCTTGGACGCCTCTTGGGCCGTCTTGGGGCCCTGTTGGGGCCGTCTTGGCATCTTGGAGGCCTCGTGGGCGATCTTGGGGCGATCTTGGGGGCCTCTTGGGCCGTCTTGAGCCGTCGGAATGCCGAAAAGAAACAAATACCAAAGTCCTTCAAAACCCTACGGGAAAACAATGATTTTGGTCTCTTTGGGCCCTCCTGGTCGATCTCTTGGAGGCCTCTTGGGCCGTCTTGGGCGCCTCTTGGGGGCCTCTTGGGCCTTCTTAGGCCGTCTTGGATGCATCTTGGGCCGTCTTGGAGGCATCTTGGGGCCATCTCAGCTATCTTGGAGGCCACCTTGGCCTTCTTGAACCATCTTGGAGGCCTCGTGGGCGATCTTGGGGCGATCTTGTGGGCCTCTTGGGCTGTCTTCAGCCGTCGGAAGGCCGAGAAGAAGCAAATGCCACAATCCTTCAAAAACCTACGGCTAATCAATGATTTTGGCCTCTTCGGGTCCTCCTGGAGGACCTTTTGGGGCCTCTTGGGCCGTCCTGGGCAACATTGACACCATCTTAGGCTGTCTTGGATGCATCTTGGGCTGTGATGGGGCGTCTTGGGGTCATCTTAGATATCTCGGAGGCTATTGTGGTCGTCTTGGAGGCCTCTTGTGGCCCTCTTGGGGCCGTCTTGAGGGCCCTTGTGCCATCAAGGAGCCCTCTTGGAGGCCTCTTGTGCGATCTTGGGGCGATCTTGGAGGCCTCTTGGGCCGTCTTGATCCGTCGGAATGCCGAGAAGAAGCAAATGCCATAATCCTTCGAAAACCTAAGGACAAATAATGATTTTGGCCTCCTCGGGCTCCCCTGGAGCACGTCTTGGAGGCCTCTTGGGCCGTCTCGGAGGCTTCTTGGACGAACTTGGAGGTATCTTGGACTCTCTTGGGCCGTCTTGGAGGCAGTCCTGGACCATCTTTGAACCATCTTGGAGGCCATCTTGGGCAAACGTGGCTATCTTGGCGCTATCTTGAGCCGTCATGAAGGATTTTTTCCGGATTGGGGTCCTTCCCGGGACCCCGGTGGGACGCGCCAGAGCCTCAGGGGGAGTTCTTTTGGAAAAGAACCAAAACCAACACCGACATAGTCTAGCACGCCAGGCACCCCTGTGATGAATCAACAGGGGGCGGCGGATCGAAGACGCCTACGGCGAACCACCGCCGCCCCCCGCCTTTTTGGAAACGCCTATGTGGCCGAACGTTGTAGCCAGAGGCCTGCCAAGCTATCGGACCATGTGTTCCCCGAATCGGTTTGGGAAGCGTTCGGGGAACACGGAGGGCGAGGCTGGGCCGACTTGGGCCCTCTTGGGGTGCTCCAGGGCCGTGTTGGAGGCCATCTTGAGCGTCTTGGAGGCCTCTTGGGCCGTCTTGGGGGCCTCTTGGGGCCGTCTTGAGGTCCTCTTGTGCCGTTTTGGGACCATACTGGAGACCTCTTGGGCGATCTTTGGGGGCTCTTGGGCTGTCTCGGGCCGTCGGAAGGCAGAAAAGAAGCAAATGTCAAAATCCTTCGAACACCTACGGAACATCAGTGTTTTTGGCCTTGTCGGGCTTTCCTGGAGGCGCTCTTGGAGGCCTCTTGGGCCGTCTTGGGCCATCTTAAGGCCATCTTAGGGCCATCTTCGGCCGTCTTGGTGGGCTTCTGGCCAGTCTGATGCCGTCGGAAGCCGTTTGGGGGGCCTCCCTGGGCCGACTTGGGGCCCTCTTGGAATGCTCCAGGGCCGTCTTGGAGGTCATTTTGGGCGTCTTACAAGCTTCCTGGGCCATCTTGGGGGCCTCGTGGGGCCGTCTTGGGGGCCTCTTGGGCCGTTCTGGGGAGGCCTCTTGGGCGATCTTTGGGAGATTTTTTGGGGCTCTTGGGCCGTCTCGGGCCGTCAAAAGGCCAACAAGAAGCAAGTGTCAGAATCCTTCCAAAACCTAAGGCAAACCAATGTTTTTGGCCTCTTCTGGTCTGCCTGGAGGCCATCTTGGAGGCTCCTTGGGCCGTCTTGGGCCAGCTTCGGGCCAACTTCGGCCATCTTGGTGGGCTCCTGGCCCGTCTGGGCCGACTTGGGGCCCTCTTGGGGTGCTCCAGGGCCGTCTTAGAGGCCATCTTGGGCGTCTTGGAAGCCTCTTGGGTCGTCTTTGTGCCCTTTTGGGGCCGTCTTGGGGGCCTCTTGGGCAGTCCTGGGGCCATCTTGGATGCCTCTTGGGCGCTGTGGGGGCGATCTTGCGGGCCTCTTGGGCCGTCTTGGGTCGTCGGAAAGCTGAAAAGGAGCAAATACGAAAATCCTTCAAAAACCATATGAAAATCAATGAGTTTGGCCTCTTCGGGCCCTCCTGGAGAACCTCTCGGAGGCCTCCTGGGCCGTCTTGGAGGCCTCTTGGGCACCTCTTGGGCCGTCTTGGGCCGCCTTGGAGGTTTCTTGGGCGGACTTGGAGGCATCTCCTCCTCTCTTGGGCAGACTTGGGGGCCATCGTGGACCATATTGGAGGCCATCTTGGGCCATCTTGGCCGTGTTGGAGGCCATCTTGGCCGTCTTGGAGGAATCTTGGAGGCCTCTTGGGGCCCTCTTGGGACCGTCTTGGGGGCCTCTTGGGCCGTCATGGGGCCATCTTGGAGACCTCGTGGGCGACCTTGGGGCGATCTTGGGGGCCTCTTGGGCCGTCTTGAGCCGTCGGAATGCCGAGAAGAAACAAATCCCCAAATTCGTCAAACACCGAAGGAAGATCAATGATTTTGGCCTCTTCGGGGAGCAACGGCGGGCGAGCGAGGCGCTGGGCAGAGCGCCGCGCGGAGTTCCCGCGACGCGGGCTGGTCGACCCGAGAGGGTCCCAGCGACGCGCGCGGGTTGTCCGCGGCGCGGAGCAAAGAGGGCTAGCTGGCTGGCTGAGGGCGGGCAAGGATCTGGCTGCTGGGCAGATCCAGAAAGCGCGAGCGAGGCGCTGGGCAGCGCCGCGCGGAGTTCCTGCGATGTGCGCTGGTCGCCCCGAGAGGGTCCCAGCGACGCGCGCGGGTCGTCCGCGGCGCGCAGCCAAACAGTTGGGCAGTCGAGATAAAGCGCGGCTTGGGCGGGCCGCTTCTCAGGTCAAGCCTCGCGGATTAACTCAGTGAGGCCCAGCTCCCTGGCGAGGGCCGTCGCCTCCCTTCTGCGCCGCTTCGTGCGCGCCGCGAACTGCCCCAGCTGCTTCCGAAAGCCTTCCGGCGGCCCTGCCAGGAAGAACTCGATGCGCGGCGCCCGCGTGGGCAGGAGGTCCTCGTTGCGGGGTGCGCGCGGGAGCAGCGCGTAGAGCTCCAACCGCCAGTCGTCGTCCTCCTTCTGGCCGTTCCCGACCTCGTGGC